GTTGGAAGTAGAATTTGGCATTAGGATCACCTTTTATGCGGTTCGGTTGATACATAGCGGCGCTTTTGGAAATACGTACTAAAAAGTACACAAAGTAGTAAATACTTAATCTTTGGTATTTGGGTGAAGAAATATGGCTGAAAATCTGAAATTTGGAGTCAGAGTCTTTGATGTTGTGTAGGATAATCAAAGCAACGTTTTTTTTTTTTTTTTTTGGAATTATAACAACAAATGTCGCAAAAGTACTAAAATGCACTAAATTTGGTACCATTTGGAACTATGTGAACAGATGGTGGTAAAATCTTGAAATTTGTAATGAGAATCAATTCTTGGAAATGCTGTTGATGTAAGGATGTGGTTTTGGAAATGAGTACTAAGTGCAAAAACCGTACTAAATGGTATTAAATTTAGTACAAATCCGTTTTTTGTTGTACAGAAAAATAGAATAATTTTTTAATATTGATACTGGGGTCACTGCAGGTGGGTAGGGTTAAGATAAAGATTTAGGATTGGAAATTCATTCAGAAAGCGTACGAAAGGTACTAAATCTGAAATTTGGGTGTATGTGTAGCCTGGATATATGGAGGTGGTTTCGAAGGCGTGAACTATAATTGTACAAAAAGTACTGAATGGTGGGTGAAGGGATAGGGATACAATTCTGAAATGTTATGTGTAGATTACTGATGGTATTTTCGTTTCGGATTTGGAGGTAGTTTGGAAATGCGTACTATATTTGAACGAAAAGTCCTAAATGGTACTTAATTTGGTACTGGGTGAAGGGATGGAACTGGAATCCTCAAATTTCATATTGAGGACTCTGGATGTGAGAGGTGGTTTTGTTGTTCGAAAAGTAGTGTACTAAATTTGGTATTGCGTGAAGAGACAGGACTAGAATCATCAAATTTCATATTGAGGTTTCTGTTGGTATCTGGAATTGAGATATGAAGGAAGTTTTGAAAATGTGTTCTATGTTTGTACGAAAAGTACGAAATTGTACTAAATTTTTGTATTTGGTGAAGAGATAAGGCTGGAATCCTCAACTTTGACACTGAAGTCTCTGTTGATATTTGGAATTACGATATGGAAGTGGTTTTTGAAATGTGTACTATAATTGTACGAAAAGTACTAAATAGTACTAAATTTGGTATTGCGAGAAGGGATAAAGATAAAATTCAGAAATTTGATATTTACAAATTATATCTATGCTTGTTATTTGGCGATGATTTGGAAATACGTCACATATTTGTACGAAAAGTACTAAATGGTACTAATGGTGAAGGTCTATACCTGGAATCCTTTAATTGAATATTGAGATCTCTGTTGGCATATGGAATTGAGATATGGAGGTGCTTTTGGAAATGTGTCTACAATTGTATGAAAAGTACTGAATAGTACTATATTTGTCAGTGGGTGAAGGGATTCGGCTGGAATCTCAAAATTTGTTATTGAGATATCTGTTGGTATCTGAAATTGAGATATGGAGGTGTTTTTGAAATGTGTACTATATTTGTACGAAAAGTGCAAAATGGTACTAAATTTGGTATTGGTTGAAGAAATAGAGCTGGAATCATCAATTTGATATCAAGATATCTGTTGGTATCTGGAATTGAGATGTGGAGGTGGTTTTGGAAATGTGTACTATAGTGGTAGGAAAAGTACTGAATAGTAGAGGTGAAATTTTGAAATTTAATATCGAGTTCTCTGTTGGAATATGATGTTGAGACTTCGAGGTGGTTTGGAAATTCATCCTATATTTGAACGAAAAGAACTAAATGGTACTTAATTTGGTATTGAGTGAAGGGATAGGCCTAGAATCCTTAAATTTAATATGGAGGTCTCTGTTGCTTTCTGGAGTTGAGATATGGAAATTGTTTTGGAAATGTGTACTATAAGTGTACGAAAAGTACTTAATAGTACTAAGTTTGGTCTTGGCTGAATGCCGAACTTTGTATTCAGATAACAGTTGGTATCTAATGTTGAGATCGTGTTTGGAAAAGCGTGCTGTTGTTATTCGAAAAGTACTAAATTTGGTATTGAGTGAAGGGTTAGGTTAAAATCCTGAAATTTGATATAGATATCCCTGAGTGTGTCTGTGATTAGGGTATGGTAGTGTTTTTGGAAATGTGTACTGTAGTTGATCGGAAAGTACTAATTAGTACTAAATTTAGATTTCGAAAAAGACATAAAGCTGTAGTTCTGAATTTGATATGGAGGTCACTGTTGGTGATTTGTAGGAAAAGAACTAAACTATACGAAGTTTGGTATTGAGTAAATGTATAGACATGTAATCCCGAAATTTGATATTGGGGTCTCTGTATTTGGTGGTGGTTTGTCAAATGCGTACCATAATTGTTCGAAAAGTACAAAATGTTACTAATTTTGGATCATTGTTGGTGTCTAGGATGGACAGATATGCCTACTGAATGTTATTTGGTATTAGGCATAGATCTGATATTGATTTTGAGGTCTCTGTTGGTCTCTAAAGCTTACATATACAGGATGAGATGAAAAACTGCAACCAACTTCAGACTGCTGTCATTTTCAAGGCACTCGGCCGACAGCTGTTAAAATTATTCCAGTGACAGCTCACTATATTGTTTACAAGCGTATTAAAGCATTTTGGAAAGAGTTATTCGTGTTGGAATTCAAGCGTGATAATCTGATTTCTTTATATTTGGCTGGAGAACCACAAGTGGCAATCGTTAGATCACTCTAGCATTTAAATGTGAATAAATCTTTTGTGTCTCGTACCATCGCTCGTTACCGTGATACTGGTAGCGTAGCCCTACGTCAAGGAAGTGTACCGAAGAAAACAGCAATGTCAACAGAAATTGTTCGAAAAGTAAAGAAGCGACTTGTAAAGATCGAAACCCGCGTCCAGTGGCCGAAAAATGGTTCGTGAGCTGAACATATCGCAATATTCCATTGGCCATGGTGATGGCGTGGGCCGTCGTAATAGCCGATAGTCGCTCTCCACTCGTATTAATCGACCGTGGCATCAGAATAAATGCCGAATATTATTGCGAAAATATTCTAGAGGGCGTATTAAAGCCTTGAGCACGCAAACATTTTGTCCGCAAACCTTGGACATTCCAACAGGACTCAGCGCCATCGCACTCAGCACGCGCCACCAAAGTCTCTGGATACCAATCCGTTGGACTATTATGCCTGGAGTATTTTGGATAGCAAGGTTGGCATTAAAAAATACCAAAGTGTCGATCGCATCAAGTGCTTCGCCGGAAATTGCCCAAAATACCACAGAGCAACATTCGGGCAGCGTGTGACGGTTTCATTACTCGTTTGAAGGCCATAATTCGTGCCAAAGGTGACCAATTCGAACAAATCTAAACTTATTCTAAAATTTATGCTATTTCCGACATTTTTTGCTTTCATTCAATAAAATTTAAAAAAATAATAAAAAAAAATGGCGTTTGACTTTGTTGCAGTTTTTTATCTCACCCTGTTGAGACTTTGAAATATTTTTGGACAGACAAAATGAATGTGGGTTCATTGTCCCAAATCCTTCTTTATTGAGATTTTGAGGACGTTTTGGTGTAAAAGTCTGAAAAAAGTCTGAGTTTTGATAAAAAACAGATATCAAAAAGGCCAAACACGAACTCTTGGAACGAATCTACAATTTCAAGATGGACTTTTCATTGACGAGTTAGCGGGCACTTGCTAGCATTTTTATAAAGGCTATCCCCACAAAAATTAAAGCACTTAATCAGAGCAACAATCTTAGATTTTTGAGAGCAATTTTGGAGGAGTCACAAGAACAGACATATTTTTATGAAGCTAGAGATCATTATTTAGGGTTTATTTGAATATTTTCCTGGAACATTAGACCAATAAAAGTAGATTTTTTGATTTAAGCTTTTTCGACGTTTTATATCAAGTATTTAAGACTTTGTCTTATTGGGCTTTTTAGGACTTAGGTTTAATGAAATTAGAAACTATTTTTTTTTTTAATATTTTTCAATGAGCAACAGATAAGCAATTGTGGAATAGTTTTTTAAGGAGACACGAACCTATGATTTATTCTTAAAAGGACTATCTGAAAACAATTTTCTAAGAACTACCAGCACCAAGATAAATATTACTTCAGTGAGGAACTAAGTCGTAGGGTGATGGGCCAAGTAGGTGGATTTCTTACCTCACCGTCCTTGACCATCCTTATTTCTCCCGCTACAATTTTATATTTTACAACCCTCTTAACAAACAAAACTTAATTAATCTTCCCCAAAGCCCATTTGAATTATAAGCTTTATGAAAAAAAAGCCATTGTTGCACCGTATTCAAATAAAAAAAAAAAAAACTTAACAGGAAACCAAATGAATTGCACTTCGACGAAGAACTTAATTCCACTTAATGGCGCCCAACTGTTGCATTATTTATTGAGGCTTCAATACACACTTCAGTGCACTTGGAAATGGGGGAAATAGGAAGCAAACCAAACAGAAAATATGGTTAGGTTCAAGTTCAAGGTAAACAAAAACAACAACAGCAGCAGCAGCATATGGTGGCAATAAAGAGGAACCAATTCAATTCTCCCATAAACACACCGACACTAACACACTCCGATATCTACATCCGAACAAGTTTTTTTTTCGCTTCAGTAAATATAATTTCAGTTGAGGAGAATTCAATGACAAAATAGGTCAGATAAAAATAGAAACAACCAAACACAGCACAAGGAATAGGAATGGAAGCGATAAGGGTAGGGAAGGGGAGGAGAGGGGACTCTATGAATTGAAAGCAACAGAAGAGAAAGTGTTGATGGTAAACATTGTCACATAATCTCCCCGCTAAAGGACATTAAGGCATTTTCAGACACATTGACATCCTTTCATTTCTCAACAGATGTAAACAGACAACCAGCATCGACGTCATTGGGGTAGGGCAGAATAGGGGGTAAGGTTAAGTGAACACCATTAAGAATTTTCAAATCCTTATCATAAATAAACCATTATCATCATCTTCTTTTATTTTCCCTTTTTCAGGTTTCTCACTACGCCCTCTGCAGCTGCATGAGGACTCCATAATGCTGATTTCATATCCGGGAGAGTTATTTATGCGTGTCTTGAAATTAATGATTTTGCCATTGGTCATCTCAAGTCTCATTGCCGGCTCGGCAAGTCTGAATGCCCGCATGAATGGTAAAATTGCTTTGAGGACTCTGGTCTACTTTGCCACCACCTCCCTAATGAATGCAGCGTTGGGTATTGCATTGGTCCTGCTGATACACCCAGGAGATCCAGATTTACACAATACTATAGATCGTTCCACAGATAAAAGGGCTGTGAATTTATTGGATAGTTTATTGGATTTGGGAAGGTGAGTACGAAAACTATTTATTATTTAAGAACGATTTTTTTCTAAAAAAGTATAAATTCGAAATTAGGAAAATTTAAGGAACAACTTTTAAAGACAAGATATTTTATCAGATTTACAAAAATGTTTATAAAAAACTACCTACCTAAAGCTTAAGATTATATTCATATTTTTTAAGATTTTTACTAGAAAAAAATATTGATCTTCAGATAATACTTTTAAGAATTACAGGCAATTGCCCGCTACTTCGTATACGAAAAAATCCATTAAAGACGAACAAGTGCTCGCTACCTCCTCAGCGAAAAGTCCACTTTAACATTTTCGATACGTTCCAACAATTCGTTTCAGACATTTTTAGTACTCAAAATACACAATTTGTTTAGTTTGCCATATTTTTTTTTTTAAAACTTCGTACATCCTTTTAAATTTTCAGATTTTCAAGAGTTTCTATTTTATTCCAATTGTTCCTTTATCGGAAAGAATTATAGTATAATTATTATTATAGTACAATTTCCAGACCTCTACAAGATATCAACAGAGACCTAAATAACAAATTTCGAGATTCCAGCTGTATTCTTTTCTTCTATATCAGATTTAGCAACAATTATTACTTTTCGTATAATTTTAGTACTCATTTGAACACCCGTTTCATATCTCAACCCCAGACACCAATATAATATATCACAGTTTTAGTTCTATCCCTTCAGCAAATACGAAATTTAGTACTATTTGGCATAAATATATTGGATGAAGTGATAGAGATAAAATTCTGAAACTTGATATTAAGCTGGGATGCATTTCCAAACCACCGCCAACTATCGAATTCAGATACCATCGGTAATCTTAATATCAAGTTTCAGAATTCAGTTTCCATATAGTATTTTTGTACAAATATAGTACACATTTCCAAGGCCCTCTCCAAATTAAATCCAAATCAAAATTCAATATCCAATTTAGTACCACTTAGTACTTTTCGAGCAATTGTATAACACATTTCTAAAACGTCTCCATCCTCAACCACAGACACCAACAGTGATATTTTTATCAAATTTTAAGATTTCAGCTATATTCCGTCACCCAATACCAGTTTTAGTACCACTTAGTACTTTTCGATATCTTAACCATAAACACCAACAGTGACAGCTATATCAAATTTCAGAATTTGATCTCTTTTCCGTTATCTAATACAAAATTTAGTACTATTTAGTACTTGGTACTATTTCGTATAATTATAGTACCATTTCCGTAACAACCACCATTTCCATTTTCCATTTTCATATACCAACAGAGACCTGAATATTAAATTCCTGCCTTATCCCCTTTACCCAATACCAAATGCAGTATCATTCAGTACTTTTCGTACAAATTTAGGACACATTTTCAAACCACCGCCACATTTTCAATCTTAAACACGACACCATCAGTTATCTTAATATTAAATTTCAGAATTTTATTTCATTTTATCACCTTTTATTGGTATTTATCACCAAAAAACCAAATATAGTGCGAATAATACTGAGTACACAATTCCGAAATCACTTCCATGTGTCGAGGCTACACATGAACAGCGACCTAACATAAAAATTGATATTTCAAGCACTATCTGCTCACCCAATACCATATTGTACCAAATATGGTAATATTTCGAATTTTCACAGTTATAGGAAACATTTCCAAAAGATAAGATACCAACAGAGAACTCAATATCAAACATTAGGCTTCGAGCCTTATCCCTTCGTTTAATACTAAATTCAGTACCACTTTGTACTTTTCGAACAATTATAGTACACAATTACAAAACCACCTCCATATTTTAAAAACAGACACCTAAAATGATATCTGTATCTAATTTAAAAATGTTATCCCCATCCTCTCACCCAATACCAAATATGGTACCATTCAGTCCACTTTTCGTCCAATAATAATAACCATTTCCCAAACTACCTCCATATTCCAGACTACAGTGATCCTGATACCAAAATTCAAGCACTATCTGTTCACCCACTACCATATTATACCAAATTTAGTACGATTTAGTACTTTTTGTACAATTATAGTACACATTTCCGAAACCATCTTTAAATCTATATTCCAAATAACAACAGAGACTTCATTATCAAATTTAAGGATTCTAGTCCCATTCCTTCACCCAATTTAGTACCATTTATTACAAATATAGGACGAACCACCGCCAAATCCCAAACATATATACTATCAAAATTTAAATACCAAATCTCAAAATTTTATCTCTAGCCACCAACCAATATAACATTTAGAACCTTTTAGTACATTTCGTACAATTATAGTATACAATTCCAAAACCACCTCCATATGTCCGGGCTACACATGAACAGCGACCCTAAAACCAAATGTCAGATTTCAAGCACTATGTGCTCGCCTAGTACCAAGCTGTATAAATATAGTATTTTTCGTGCTCTTGTAGTACTCATTTCCACAAACCAACACCTATTTATCACAAACCAACTGGGACCCCAACACAAAATTTCAAAACCATACCAAATTAATTCAAATTTCGTACCATTGAAATTGATTCGCATACCAAATTTCAAGTTTTTACCTGTTCACATTATAAACATTTTAGAAGACATTTCAGTACTATTTTCGTAAGCTTAAGGTTCCAGTTTCCAGAAACCCTTCATTACATCTATCCTGCACTCCCTGCACTCTATCAAATATTCGTTCAAATAATACAAAATGGCACGATTTTAGACGTTTAGTACCATTTTTGAATTTTCGTAACCTTACATGTATCCTGTACTCCATCTGTGAATTTTGAAATTTTAGCTCATTCTGTTTATCCAATACAAAATATTAGATTTTTGGTACATTTAAGTACTTTTCATACCCTTTTAGTACGAATTTTCAAGAACTACGAATTTCCAGCTTCATCACACGCCTACACACCAGTTTCCTCTTTTTATACCCTACTTTGTGCATTTGTTTGTAAAATGGAGAAGGGAACGAGATAGACCCATAGTTCCTTTTGGTGATCAGCATAGAATCACATTTTGAGTCGATTTATGCATGTCCGTCCGTCCTTGTATTTTTGTAAACAAAATGCAGGTCGCATTTATTATTCGATTTAAATGAATTTTCTAAATAACATTTTTTGGCTCAAGGACGAACCCTATTGAAATTGGTGGAAATTGGTCCAGATTTAGATATAGCTCCCATTTATATCTTCATCCGATTTTAGGTTTCTTGTGCACCAAATGGTGTGAATTTTGCTACATCCGACCGAATTTAATATAGAAATAAATACTTTAAATTTGGTGGAAATCGGTTCAGATATACCTATAGTTCCCATATATATAGGTTTCATCCGATTTTGGTGTTTAAGTCCCTTACATTCGTAATATACACCTCACAAAAATGATATTTAGTACCAGATATTAGATTCAGCCCAGCAATACATAATTCAAATTTTGTTAAGATCGGTTCAGATTTGGATATAGGTCCCCTATATATCTTCGTCCGATTTTAGGTATCTTGTGCACCAAATGGCTAATTTCAGCCCAGAGTGAGTGAAATGTTTCACTTCCAAGCTAATTCATTCAAGAAGTTAATACTTAAAATTTGGTGAAAATCGCTTCAGATATAGCTATAGTTCCCATATATTTAGGTTTCATCCGATTTTGGTGTTTAAGTCCCTTACATTCGTAATATACACCCCATAAAAATGATATTTGGTACCAGATATTAAATTCAGCCTAGCAATACATAATTTAAATTTTATCAAGATCGGATCAGATTTGGTTATAGCTTCCCTATATATCTTCGTCCAATTGTAGGTTTCTTGTGCACCAAATGGCTAATTTCAGCCCAAAGTAAGTGAATTGTTGCACTTCCAAGCGAATTCATTCACGAAGTTAAAATTTATTCAAGAAGTTATAATTTAAAACTTGGCGAAAATCGGTTCAGATATAGCTCTAGGTCCATATATATGTTTTATCCGATTTGGTGTTAAAATCTCCAACTTTTGGAATATGCACTCTACAATAATCATTTTTTGTACTAGATATCTCATAGAGCTCAGAAATGCCCAATATAAACCTTTCTTTTACGAGAGCTCTACTAAATATACATAGTGGTGTAGGGTATCATAGAGTCGGCCCCGACCGACTTTTGGGTTTTCCTTTCTGTTTTTTTCTTGGTTTTTTTTTTCATGGATTTTTAAAAATTATTTTCTCAGAAATCTAATTTTTATAGTCATGTATTTTGAGATCGCCGAATTATAAGTAAATTGTTTGAGTCGCAAAATCTGTTAGTATATTTGGTAATTTTTTTTTTAAATATTTTTTTTGGACTATTTGCCTTAGTCCATTTTTTTTCAAAATATCAAAACAAATCTTTAAGCAATGATTTTGTATGAACCGGTCTACAAAGTTCAATGGAGTTAAATAATATTTGAAAATATCTAGTGACTTATTCTGTGCACATATTCTTGATGGGCTAAAAATTTTATATTTTTAGGTATTGTACTTTTGAAAATATCGTTGTTAACGTTATTGTTATAAGTGTTATACATGGTTGTCGACCCGGGTGGATGTATTCGCTACTGCATTTATAACCCGTAGTTTGGGTTTATGTCCGCGCTACTATAAATAACGTTTTATAGCACGTATTATAGCAAACATGTTGATGGGTCTTGTCCATGATATAAAATTTGCTATAAAAGTGAAGATATTTTATTTTACTTTATAATTTATTTTTATAATTTTTCAGGGATGGGAGTTTTATTTCACAATATTACATTTTCGAAAATACTGTCATACAATTTTTTTTTTATTTTTTTTTTCTCTCTTCTGTTACAGAAACGTCTTTCCCGACAATCTATTCCAAGCCTCATTTCAACAAGCGCACACTGTTTATCTGCCTAAACCCTCCATTTCGAATACATTCAATGAAACCTTCAATGAGACCAGTCTCGTAGACGTGGATTCCGGCGTAGATGCGCAACGACAGGATGCAGAGCCGACATTGATACGTGTCATCCAGTATCGCAGCGGTACCAACACGCTGGGCATTGTTTTCTTCTGTTTGGTCTTTGGCACATTCCTTGGGACGATCGGTGAGAAGGGCCAAGTGGTGGTGGATTTCTTTTCGGCCATTTTTGAGGTGGTCATGAAAATGGTCACCTGTGTGATGTGGCTAACGCCGGTTGGCATCAGTTCGGTGATAGCTGGCAAAATACTAAGCGTTGACGATCTGCACATGGTTATGGCCCAGCTGATGTGGTTCATCCTGACGGTGACCATTGGTGTGGTCCTGTATCAGTTTGTCATAATGCAGGTCATCTATTATGTTGTTGTGCGTCGAAATCCATTCAAATTCTATGCTGGATTGATACAAGCCATGCTGACCGCATTTGCGACAGCTTCAACGTAAGCCACTATATACATATAACTACATACATTTTCTATATATAAACATATATCAGATAAAGAACGGAGATTTCTAAGAAAACTTCCAAAGTTTTGAATTTGCAAGTTCCGCACACCAGAACAGACAAGTTCTGTGTTTGGAGTGTTGCAAAAAGCAAAAATATGAAATTTACCTTCAAAATCCTGGAGGGAGATTGAAATCGTTTACTGCGACGATTCCTCTCAAATCCCAGATTATTTGAAATTATCAAATTACACGAAACTCAAACAAAAAATGATTAAAAATAAACCCTCTGGTTTCTAAAACTTATTGTAATTTTAACCGATTATATTTTTACGACATTTTGCTACAAATATTTCTTTCCTTTTTTGGTTCTTTTGTTCGATCTTGAATGCAACATTTTGATTTTTACGTTTTTTCAACAATCAAATCCAAAAAACACAAATCAATTTTATATGTGAAAATTACTCAACCAAAATTTTCCCAACCTATACTAACCAAAAACAATAACAACAACAATCAAATTGTAAAAAATTCCAACACTAAATATTGTGAAAAAAAAAACAAAAAAAAAATCAAATAAAAAATCACTCCTCCTCGTTAATGAATTTGTTCATCTCAAACATGCTGTGATATTCAAACAAAAAATACAAATCAACTCATGCTGTGATAATTTTCAAACTGTGATATGCCACAACTGTGTGATACAACAACTACTGCAACTTCATCAATCGAAAACCAAATGTTCACCTCCCACACCCTCAGTGCTGCTGCACTTCCTGTGACATTCCGCTGCATGAACGACAAGTTGCGTGTGGACCAGCGCATCACACGTTTTGTCCTACCCATCGGTTGCAACATCAACATGGACGGCACTGCTCTCTTCATTTCGATTGCCTCGATTTTCATTGCCCAAATGTCCGGCATGACATTAGGTTTCGGTGAAATTGTCACAGTCCTTTTGACATCTACCGCCGCTTCGATGAGTTCGGCGAGTGTTCCCAGTGCTGCTTTGGTCCTGCTTTTGGTTGTCTTGACCGCCATCGATGCCCCGGTCCAGGATGTCACACTGCTGTTCGCTGTCGATTGGTTTGTGTGAGTATTTTTGAAGAAATAAAAATTGATTGTTTTTTATTTTATATGAAATTTGATTTTAAAATTTAATAATTCAGGACTTTTAGGCTCTACAAACTTCTTAAGGATCATTAGTGATTTTTTAGGTGTATTTTTTCAAGGAATATTAATATTTTAAAAGCTATAAGCGGATTTTTAAAGTATTTCTCCTAGGACAATTAGTTTATATTTTTTAAAGAGTATTATAGAATTAATGTTGGTATTTTTATTATTGCGGAGCGGAAAAATGACTATTACAAAGGGGTTAGATGGGGAAAACTATGAATTCGGATAGAGCCGCTAATTCTCATTATTTACAAATTATGATGTGTGTTTTTTTTTAATATTTCTTCCAAGACAATCAGTTCTCAGAAACGTGATTTTTTTAAAGGTAGCTGAATAATTTTTTAGAGTACTTACAGTGGTTTTTCTTTTTATACCCTCCACTATGGAGGGTATTTTGATGATTTTAGCGATATTGTTTACCTGAATTGGTTTAAATTTTGTATTGGATACTACAGCCTGTGCAGGTCCAAGTCTTCAAATAGCCCCCATATATCAGTATCTCCCTATATTCGATATTTTGGCGATTTTAGGTACAATGCTCACCGACATTTTCTGAGACGTCGTATTTGATGTTTGTATTGTGACAGAAAATTGTCTATGCAGGTCCAGGTCTTTGTATACCTCCGGTATAACGGTACCTCCCTATATACGATATTTTGACGATTTCAGCTACATTATTCATCGTTTATGTCATGTTTCGAATTTGGATATGGTATGGAATGCTAATGACAAACAAAACTCAAGTAGATCCACGTCGTATAGACCCCAATATAACATCTGTATTCGGTATTTTTAACATTTTAACAGAATTTTTAATGGTTTTTTTTTTTTGAAAATTTCCAAATGGTGGAGGGTATTCAAAGTTCGACCCGGCCGAACTTACTGCTTTTTAACTTGCTTAGATTATTTTTTCTGGGACGTATTTTAATTGCATTGCATTGTAAAGTACTTCTTTAAGGCATTTCTGTAGCGGCGTATACCGCCATGGCTACCTCATAGAAAGGATAGTTAGACGAAGCTTCGTTTCAAAGGTTGCCCGTCTTAAAGAGAGTATCCGCTTGGGTCCTCTCCGTTGGGATGTCAAAGGTCAAAATTTCCACAAAAAATAATTTTGCGCGTATAAAAAGAAAGGATCATCCAATTTTGTTTAAATTGTACAAATCCCAATATTTGAATCAGTACTATGTCAGGCACACGAATGGATATCCTCCATGTACTTTCCACACAAAGGGTCAATATTGTGAACTCTAATAAAATGCGCAACAAGAATCCGATTCTCCTTAAAATTTTACTCATCTCAATATTTCTACGAAAACAAGATCTGGTGTGAAGATGGTTGATATCGATTCACTCCTTCTGGTACCTCACCCACCATAGTGAGTCAAAGTTTTGAATAATCAAAACGGTTATACAATCCCAAATAAGCATCCATCTCCTCCCATCCATTCATTTTACACATCCTATTATTTCTGTATATCGGTCAACTCCTTCTGGTACTTTCCCCACAAAGGGTTAAAATTTTGAATAACTAAAATGATCATAAAATACGAAATAAATATTCGATTATCTACAAATTCCATACATCCCAATATTTTTCTTAATACTTGATCGGTCTGAAGATGGGATATATCGCACCACTTCATCTGGTACCTCCCCCACAAATGGTCACAACTTTGAATAGCCAAAACGATCGTAAAATACGGAATATGTATCTTCAAATCTCCACACCCCAATATTTTTACTAACATCAGATCTGGTGTGAAGATGGGACGTATCGATCCACCCCTTTTGGGATCTCCTCCAGAAAGGGCTCAAACTTTTGAATAACAAAAACCTCGCACATTCCAAATCTTGTACTAACACAAGACCTGCCGTGAAGATGGGATGTATCGGTCCACTTCTTATATCCATGAAGCCCATAAAAAGCGAAATTAAGATCCGATTCCATTTAAGACTTGGTACATCTCAATATTTCCATCAACACAAGATCTATTATAAAAATGGTAGAGATCGGACCATTTTTCTGGTACCCCATCAAAACGCTCAAAGAAAGCAAAATAAGTATCCAACTCATTTCAAATATTCTTGATAACACAAGATCTATTCTGAAGTAGATATATACCTGCGAACCCCTCCTGGTACCTCCTCCTGGTCACAATTCTCAATATTTATATCTGTCATAGCTTGTGAAACAACATACCGATGTTTTTCAAGCTTGGTATACCTGAAAATCACTTCCAACCAAAGATTTGATTTGAATATGGGATTAATCGACCCATTCTTTCTGATACCTCACCCACAAAAGGTTAAAATTTTGGTTAACAATTATTCGGATAAAATTGCAAATAAATCGACGACTTTCTTCAATTTTTGCACATCCCAATATTTTTTTTTATCAGTATTAAATACAATGGAATATTTCGGGCCACTCTATTTCATAATTTCCGAAAAAGTAATACATATCTCATATAAAGTGTGGGAAGTTGTTGATATATTGCAACCTCACGCCTTTTATTATTTATATAGACTTAGGTATATACTTAGGTATTATATAGACTTGGTTAACATCTTCGGAATCTCTATAGGGGTCAACATTGGAATTTGCGTATATATATGCAAATACTATAAAATTATTATTTTTTAAACATTTTGAAAATAATATTAGAATATTTTTACGCGTATCTCTTTAAGGTCAAAGGAGAATTCATAATATTTTCAAAATTATTTTACAAGGAGGGTCAGTGGATATTTTTAAATTTTTCAATTTTTTTTTAGAATATTTTACCAAAGAGTATTAATGGCATATTTCAATTTTTTCTAAGTGTATAGAAAATGTGTGAATTAAAAAAAATCAAAAGTTTAAGACGATGAGTATTAATTGAGGGTACTCTGACATCATTATTTGGCAGTATTTTATTTCACTGCCTGGGTTAAGGTTGGGTAAGACCTCTTTTTTCAAGATTGAATCTGTAGACTACTAAATTTAAAGGATGTTCCTGCTTTACCTCTCCGACTTGTGGGACACCTACTTATTATTATTATTATAATTATTATTATTATTATTATTATTATTATTATTATTATTATTATTATTATTATTATTGTTATTATTATTATTATTATTATTATTATTATTATTATTATTATATTATTATTATTATTATTATTATAATTATTATTGTTATTATTATTATTATTATTATTATTATTATTATTATTATTATTATTATTATTATTATTATTATTATTATTATTATTATTATTATTATTGTTATTATTATTATTATTATTATTATTATTATTATTATTATTATTATTATTATTATTATTATTATTATTATTATTATTATTATTATTATTATTATTATTATTATTATTATTATTATTATTATTGTTATTATTATTAATATTAATATTATTATTATTATTATTAGTATTATTATTATTATTATTATTATTATTATTATTATTATTATTATTATTATTATTATTATTATTATTATTATTATTATATTATTATTATTATTATTATTATTATTATTATTATTATTATTATTATTATTATTATTATTATTATTATTATTATTATTATTATTATTATTATTATTATTATTATTATTATTATTATTATTATTATTATTATTATTATTATTATTATTATTAGACATTCGCAGACATTGGTTGGGATATTCTCGCAGTTGAGCCTTCAGAGAATATTGTTTTCCGGAGCACAAGTATCCTTGTCGCACACAGCACTCCTGCCGGTCTTCACTAATTTAAAAAGAAAAATGGGATACCATTTGGTACTGTTTTTTATTTATTTCGTGGTCTGTCCGTAGTAGACAAATTAGTGGGCTTATTATGCGCTGTGAGGCCCATTGAAGATTAAAGAAAAAATTATATTTGTTTAGAAGACTTCTATTCGGTATTTTATAAAAATACTCATGTAGAATAACCATTTTTAGCTTCCATTCAAAATTGTATTTTCTTGTTGAATATTTAGTAAATGTGTCTCTTTCCCATTTTTAGGGATCGGATTCGCACCACCAACAACATGCTGGGAGATTGTTATACCGCCGCCATTGTCGAGGAGTTATCACGCAAAGAATTAATGGCCCTGGATGCAGCTATTCTCTATCAGGTAATAAATAAATTCTTTTAGACAATTTAAAGAACTATCCCCTCCCACAACTCCCTTAATGTCCTACGACAAAAGGTTAAGTATATTTTGAAATAAATTTTGAGTAAAAAAACAATTTACAGAAATACACCATTTCTGTAACTCACTAAAAAAATATGCGCTTACAGATACCGTTGCGAATAAATAAAAGTGAGAGAGAGATGAGGCCCCCAAAATAGAAACAGTATATTTTACAAAAAAAAATGTATTTTGGAATAAAAATTCTGGAATAATTACTAATAATAAATTTCGTTTTGTTTTTGTCTTTTTTTGTGGATTTTGTGCCACACACTTTAATTTTCGTTTGCTCACAGGAAATTCCCATCAGCACGCCAAATGGTCATGTCAGCTTGGAGGGACAAACTGAATTGGACAGTACTTGCACCATGCCGGATGCCGTTATCGTCGACATGAATGCGGTCATTAATAAAGTCCAACAACAACAGCACCAACATCCACATCATCAGAATGGTCATGCTAATCATAAAATATAAAGTGAAGAATGAAAGAAAGCAGCAAAAAAACAAAGAAAGAAAGGCAATAACAGCAACAACAACATAATTAGCAAAGCAGCAGTGGTAGAAAGCAAGAATGAAGCAATGCTAATAAACCAAAGAACAATAATTACCAACAACAACAAAAAAAAATATTAGAAAACAACAAAAATCAACAAAAACAAGAACATTAACAGCAATTGTAGTCAAATAAAATATTGTTCACTTCTAGTAGTAAAAACAACAACAACATACAAACAACAACAACAATAATATATTATAATCCCCTATCGGCCCCCTTGTATACCCCTTTTACCTTTTGCCAGTCAGCCATATATCTTTGTCGTCAATTTAAACCACAAAAAAAAAAATATGAAAAACATGAGACAACTTGAATCAAATAATTTTAACGATTTTAAAACATACATAATTATGTAAAAAAAATATTTTAACTCAAAATCTTTTTAAATCCCCCTCAACAACAAAAAGAAAAAAATATTTGTATTAAATTATAACAGAATGGTGCTACAAAATTGGGAAATCAATGAGGTACTTTTTGAGTGATTTGTTCAAAAATGTATGACAATTTCATAGGACACTTTTAAGGAGTAAAATATCCAGAGGTTATGAGGAATAATGCCATTCCGGAATAGAGATAGGCAAGAATAGGCAGATATTGTACAAAGCTCGACTAATATATCCAGAAGAAATAGTCCCTCTCTATTTCTTCTGGATATATTAGTCGAGCTTTGTCTATGTTAGGTCGTCACAAGATCTCAAAATTTCGCTTAAGAATTGATTAACATGGTGCATATCCTAAAACGATCACTCTCGCGGTAGGAAGTCATGAAAAATCGTAGTTTAAAAGTCCAGATAAATTCAGAATAATTAAAACAAGTAAAAAAGCACTAAGTTCGGCTGGGCCCTCCACCATTTAGAACGAATTCGAAAATTTTCGAAAATGATAACATTCGCAAAAAATTCTGTTAACATTTTAAAAATACCGAATATAGCCGAATATAGTCTAAATACGTAATTTGAAACTGCTACGGTGAATAATGTCGCTAAAATCATCAAAATACTGAATATCGGGAGGTACCATTATATGGGGGTTATACGAAGACCTGGACCTGCATAGACAATTTCCTGTCTCAGGCTGTAGTATCCATTTCGAACTTCAAATACCAAATTTGAAACAATTCGGGTTAATAATGACGCTAAAATTTTCAAAATACCGAATATCGGGAGGTACCGTTACATAGGGGCTATATGAAAACGTGAACCTATATGGCCCATTTACGAACTTAACCTGCCTACTGGTAAAATAAACATGTGTGCAAAATTTTAGCCTTCTATATCAATTCGTTCGAAAGATAGCGTGGTTACAACAGACAGACAGACGGACATGGCTAAATCGTCTTAGAATTTTACGCTGATCAAGAATATATATATATACTTTGTTGGGTCTGAAAGTCGTCTATAATGGGATATTTGCAGGCGAATAGAAAGAGATTTTTTTATTGGCCAATAATATGGATTCGATTCCGACGGCCTGGTGAAAATTCTTAGAAAAATATAAAAACGATTCAATGCAGAATATTTTCAAAGAGTCTTTAGAGATAATAAAATGCTTCTCATGGATGTCCCAAGGACCATCTTTACTGACGATCTGAGGAGGCTCAAATTTATTCCAACCAAATGGCGCCTTTATCAGATTCCAGAAGAACGAAGTAAACACATCCAAAAGGTAAATCTGATCGCTCGGTTACAGACGAGAAACACACATTTCGAACCTGGCTGCCTGAAATTCCATTCAGTTTTTATCCATGGAGAATGATTATGGGCGACAAGTAGTGGGAAGATTTTTATAATCGGAGAAGGTTCCTGCGGATTGGGACACTTTTTTTACTGTAGTCATAGAAAACAAGAAGGTTTGCCTTTTTGTATGGCGTGGGGCAATAGTTATAGGCTCTTATGGAAGGTAGTTTTTTTACTCAATAGGAACGGATATTTTATGTAAAATTAGAGAGAATATATGTAATCAAGGAAGACAGACCCTGAACGATAATTGCGCCTTTTTAAGAAATCCGCGGTTACACACCGTGGCCAGAGTCTACACCTTGGTCTGGTCTCCATTGACCACATGACTGTGGCATTAATATTTCGTTATGAACAATTGGTAGAGTAATTATTTTCTAATGTAAATTCATATAAGAAACAATAGACTTAAGCTACGAACTTGATTTTGTCTCTAGACAACCGCAGGAAGAGCCTAAAAAATAATATCTAGAGAACATTGAAATGAAAAACTAAAACATTTAAATTAGAAAAAAAATCGGTTTAAAAGATTATTAGACACAATTATAAAAAGTCAGAGCCTTCTTTTTGATCTGCACTATATTGGAAGAAATTATGTTTTGCAATAAATTCCCAGTGAAAACAAAAGACTTAAGCAACGAACTTGATAATGATTTATTGCGACTGTTATTGCTCAGATAGTTCTTCACAAAATATTCTTCAAAAATCCTCAAATATAGCTCAGAAGGCTTAAAAATTAAATATATAAATTTATATAAAAATATTAAAACAAAGGTTATAACTTCTGACTTGGGCGCTATGAGAAAAAAGGTTCTATTTTTCCATTAAAAATAACTAGGAGAGTAATTATTTTCTCCAATAAATTAACAAAGAAACAAAAAACTTAAGCAACAAACTTGATATTGACAGATTTTTTCATTCAATTCTTTTCTACTGGCATTAGGCTTACTCTACTTGAAGAGGAGCGGAATTGGAGGTTTTCTAAGTTAAAATAGTGTTTCAAAAGAATACACGATTCTTGCTCAGATGACCCTTTTTAAAAGTTACATCATTATCGTTTTGATAGTCCTCCATAAAATATCACAACTACAGCTCGGCCAGTACTTCATAAAAAAATGGAAGATTATTAATCAGATAGTCTTTTTAAAATATTCTCAAAAATCTTCGTTTATAGCTCGGAAGTCCATTAGAAAAATCATAAAAATAATTCAGATCCAAGTTTCTATTTTTTTAACAAATCTTCTAAAATTCTTATTTTTTTAGGAATATCCACGTTTACATCGTTTATAAGTGGTTAAAGTCTGCACATTGTTCTGGTCTACATTGAACAAATAATCTTATTTTTCTTTATGAAAAATTGGGGAGGCATTATTATTTTCTATAATAAAGTCATAGCAAAAAAATGAAATCATTGTGTTCGAATGTTGAAAAGAAGGATACAAAATTTTAGTTCAGATCCCCCTTTTCACAAATTTCACCATTATCGATAATTCTCTATAAAAATCGACGATTATAGCTCGGTCAGCTCTTCATAAAAAAACGTGACAATCATTCCTCAATTCCAGCTTAAAAGTGCTCTAGAAAAATCATAAAAAATATATTAAAAATCCCGAGTATAGCCTCTGAGGAACTGAAAACATCTTTTTAAATCTTCCACGAATTTAGTTCTTTTGAGGGCCTTTAATACACATTCGTTTGAAAAATCTCTCTTATAGGCTAGTTATGTCTGAAGTCTGTTTTTAAATAGTGAAACTGTATAGTGACAACCAGAACGTACTCTTTATGGATAAGCTAATATATAGTCTTTATAAGATCAAAGGAGATAGCATAGAAAATCTGAAAAGAGATATTGCAGAAGATCTGTAGAGAATTTATAGACAAGCTGTGAGGGAGCTTGAGGAAGTTCTCCATAGAAGATAAGCTGAAGGCAGTCTTCATAGACGACAAGCTGAATGCAATCTTCATAGAAGACGAGCTGAAGTCTTTCTAGCAGACGATTTGACGATTTGAAAATACGATTTGAAGGGGATTCTTTATAGACGACGAGCGGAAGGAAGTCTTCAAAGATGACGAGCTTAAAGGGTGTATTCAAAAACAATAAGATAAAGGCAGTCTTCTTAGATGATCTACAAAGAGTCTTCATAGACGATTTTAAAGGAGTATCTAAAGAGTATCTCAAGTATCTAAAGAGAGTCTGTAAAGACGAGTTGAGAGGTTGTAAGCCGATTTTTATGGTTGAGGTGAATAGAGTCTTTATGGACAATATAGGCAGTTCATAGACGATTTAGAAAAGAGTCTTTATACATGTGCTGGAAGAGAGTCTGCAAGTAAATTTGTTAATGGCATAAATGGTTATTTATGTTATTTTTTAACATTGCATGACATTGTAGATGTTCTTGATTAAAGATGACGGCAGTTCTGTTCCTGGTTTGACATTTATAATCGGGCTAGTTGGAATTTTTATCGGTTTTTGTAGTTAATGGGAAAAAAGGGGTTTCATGGAAAAACTGAAAGTTGTCTAACCTAGGCTATAGGTTAAAAGATTTTTTTCCTTTTATTCGAGCTGAAACAAAATTGTAACATTTGACGCTCATAAAACCCCCATCATGTATTGAAAAGCCGATGCACTCGAAACAAGTCACTGTTTGGTGGGGATCTGGATCTAGAGGTATAATTGGACCATTTTTCTTAAAAAATTAGCAAGGAGTGGTCGTTCGTTATCGATTAAGATGAAGTTATTGTATACGACAATAGGTCTCCGTTTGATGTATTTTTAATAAGTTGGGGATTTCTTTATAGATTTTTTTTATGATGTTTTAGTAATGACTTAAGAGCCTCAATAGAGGCTTAATATGTAAAAATGTGATATAAACTGCCAAATGCCATCACTGGTCTTTCGTGACAACCCCATAAATTATTACAGATAATAGAGACATAGGAGGGAGTTGCTTAGATATTGTGCGAAGGGATGCAGAATTCGATTTTGCTGATCAAATCCACCATTAATGACATCAAACCTATATAAACTGCGGTAGGCAAAAATTAGGACGAAATTATGGGCAGTCTTAAGATATTAATAAAATAGCAAAAATATCATGAAAAAATCATCCTCATTGAATACGAAAAATTAGAACTTATAACTTTCGAATTTCCAACCAAAAGCAAAATGTTGAGAAAAATAATATTTGACTTCTCAATATTTTGGGTATTACAACTATAAGAAATTGTAAGCTCCAGTTGTTCTATGTTCGATGAGGTTTTTGAATCGAGAGGAGTTTTTTTATCTCTCCCCTGATGTTAGATACCAAAATTAGGTGGGGGTTATGTCGATTTTAAGTATTGGGAGCTCTTTTTTCATGTTTACAAGAAATGATTATTATTTTATGGAGCCGTTGCAAATCGAAAGTTAATATTACAATGCAAAAATAATCTACTAAATAATATACCCCAATTAAGATGCAATATAAAATTTGTTCAAAACGTAGGAATATTTTTGAGCAAATCACTTAAGAAGTATCTGCCGTTGTTCTCTTGTAGCACCATAAAAATCAGACTGTTTTACGATGTCCAAATAATCAAAAAACAATAATGGAACTTTGCATTCTCAATAAAATAAAAGCCCACCAAAGAAAAATTGATTTAATAAAATTACAAGAATTTTTTAAAATCAATCTGAATAACAATTAAAGAAGACTCCTTTTAACAAAAAATAAAAAAAACACAAACAAAAACAAAATTATTCTAAAGTGTTTTAAAAACCAATAACAACCAAAACAAAAAAAAAAAACTACAAAACCCCGCTCACATCTTCCCTTTAAATCAAATATAAATGGCCACTCCCTATATATTAAAATCTGAAAAAAACAACAACCACAACAAAAGATCTTAATGTTAGGCAAATATTTTACAACAGTGTATTACAATACCAACAACAACAACCAAACAAACAAACCAACAAACTGAATTTGTGATGTTATTAAGTATTTTTAGTAAAAGCAAATAGTTTAACAAAAACTAGATTTTATATTTTTTCTTTTCTTTTCTTTTCTAATTTAAATTTTAAATTAGAATATTTTTATTTTGGATTTGTATTCTAATTTTTTTAAGCTTAAGTTAAATTTTTTACCTTAAATATAAATAACTACCTTAAATCCTAGATTTTTATCAATTGGTGGCAATAGAGTTTTTTTTTTAAATTTTTTTTTTAAAAATCGTATTATTTTATATATAAAATTGTTTTTATTATTTTCTTTTGATAAGGACCCTTTTGTAAAAATATCTGTCTATAAATTATATTTTTTAACAAAAAAAAAAAAAAATATTCACATTTTTTAAAGTAGACTGATAGTAAATTAGTAATTTAAACCAAAAAAAAAAAAAAAAAAAACATATTTGTATGCATCAAAAATAAAAAACAAATAAAATAAATATTATTACCTACTAAATAATAATTAAACAAAAAAATAAAAACAAATAAATATCGTCTGAATAAATTATAAACACTTACTATGTACTCGATTATAGTACCACAAATACGTATGTGTTTCATTTAAGGGCTTTAAGGGTAAGTTGTGTCAGAGAAAACACTGTGCGACAAATTTCATTTTTCTGTACCCTCATCCATATGGCTACAGAGGGTATATGTATATCATTTGATTAGGTGAAAATGTGCCTAGTCGAAATAACGGTTTTAGACCCTAGGTCTCTTTGGACCAAATTCGTTTCAGAACATTTGGAGTCGATCTAGTCGATCCGCAAGAAGGTCGAAATTTTCAAAAAATTAATTTTTTCCACTTCATAAAGTTCCTCCCCCACAAAGGGTCAAAATTGTAAATAATTACAACTCTTATAAAATGTGATGTAAGAGTCCGATTGTCTTCAATATTTTATTATTATTGTCCCAATATTTATATTAACCTAAGGTCTTGTGTTAAGATGGAATATATCGGTCCACTCCTTCTGGTACCTCCCACACAAATGGTCGAGATTTTCAAAAAATATATATATATATATATATCTATATATATTTTCTGCACAGAAAGAGAATCGATAATCCGATTTTGTTCCAACTTTGCAAATCCTGATATTTACGTCAGTCCTAGGTCAGGTGCAATAATGGAAAATATCGGTCCACTCTATCAAGTACCTCCCCAACAAAAGGTCGAAACTTTGAATATCCATTAAGCTCTTAAAACACTAAATTAACATCCAATTCCATTCAGCCTTGGCACATCTCAATATTTTCATAAACACAAGATCTTTTATAAAGATGGTAGCGATCGGACCATTCGTGCCGGTACCTCCCACACAAAGGACCTAAGTTTTGAATAATCAAAACGAGTAAAGAATCGGAAATAAACATCCGGTTCTCTTCATATTACACACGTCCCATTATTTCTACTAACTCAAGATCTGGTGTGAAAATGGGATATATCGGTCCACTCCTTCTGGTACCTCCCCCGCAAAGGGTAAAAAATTTGAGTATCGATAAAGCTCATAAAATGCAATATTAACATGGGATTCCCTTCGGACTTGGTGCTTCTCAATATTTTTTATCAAGACAAGATCTGTTATAAAGATGGTGGAGATCAGACCATTTTTTCTGGTACCTCCCCACACAAGGAGTTCAAAAGAAGCATCCAAATGCATTCATCCATCTCCTCAAATTTCCCATACATACATACAAACATTATTGCTAACACAAGATCTGTTGTGAAGATCATATACATCTGCCATCTTATAACTGTCATAACTTGCGAAACTAGTCGGCGATTCTTTACAACTTGTTTTATCTAAATATTTCTCCTAAATGGCTCGAGAGCTGAACATATCGCAATATTCCATTCGGCAAATATTGAAAAATGAACTCGGGGCCTTTGAAATTCCAAAAAGTGCAAGAACTTACACCACGACGGAAAGAAAATAGACTCAAAAAAGAGCTGAAGAGTTGCTTCGCTTGGCCGAAAGTGGTGAACTGCCGAATTTGGTTTTCTCCGATGAGAAAACATTCGTTGTCCAGCATTTTGCAAACAAACAAAATTATCGTGTTTACTTGTCGTAGAGGTCAGCTGAAAATGTGCACCTTCGGTTGGCCACCAGAACTCAAGCGCCAGCCATGGTGATGGTGTGGGCCGCCATAACAACCGATGGTCGCTCTCCGCTCGTATTAATCGACCGTGGCATCAGAATAAATGTCGAATATTATCGCGAAAATATTCTGGAGGATGTATTAAAGCCATGGGCACGCAAACATTTTGGCCGCAGATCTTGAACATTCCAACAGGATTCAGCACCATGGCACTCAGCACGCGCCAACCAAGAATGGTTACAAAATGAGGATCCTCGCTTCATTTCCAGTGCCCAGTGGCCACCAAAATCTCCGGATACCAATCCGTTGGACTATTGTGTCTGAAGTATTTTGGAAAGCAAGGTTGGCACTAAAAAATACCAAAGTGTCTATCACCTCAAGCAAGCGCTTCGCCGGGAATAAGCCAAAATATCGCAGAGCAACATTCGGGCAGAGTGTGACGGATTCATTGGCCATTTGAAGGCCATAATTCGTGCCAAAGGTGACCAATTCGAACAAATGTAAACTAATTTTAAATTTTGATGATATTTCCGACATTTTTTGCTTTCAGTCAATAAATTTAAAAAAATGTAAAAATTATGGCATTTGACTTTGTTGCAATTTTTTATCCCACTCTGTAATTGTACAAAAAGTACTGAATGGTACTATATTTGGCATTGGCTGAAGGGATGGAGATAAAATTGTTAAATTTAAATAGAAAAAAAAAACGTTTGGTTGTAAGGGTTATTTATTAATATATAATAGGGTTGTACGGCATCGCATGGTGGGTCCCGCCTTTTCAAAGAGATACAATTCTCGGTGTATGTGGAATATACAAATTTTGAATTTTTCCTATCAGTATAAAATTGTAAAAAAATTTGCCATTCCAAATATTTTTTTCCTCCAAAGTAGTGTTTTTTTTTGGACTCGAGAAATTCAAAAACTGGTTCCGATGGGACAAATCCTCATATTATGCCCATATGTCGTCGTTGAGTGATAAAATTGCGTATTTCTGGAGAGCATCTTGTCAAAGCTTTTATTTTTTAAACGTTATTTTTAGCATTCCTGTAAAAATAGTTTCATTGGTCAACTTCAAAGACGCCAACCCAATATGGCTGGATATGAATGGTTGGCTGGCTGGCTAACTGACAATGGGTGTTTGGTGTTGCTGGGGGAAAACGATGTGGCAAATATGGTTGTTCATCATTCTGAATGGTGTTGGCTTCGACTGATGCTAACGATGGTATGGCCATTTTTGTCTCTTTCTGTCGTTGCTGCTGCTGCTGTTGCTTCTACTTCTGCTGATTAGGCGATGTCAACACAAGGGTACTAATTAACTTCAACTTGTCATAATTGTCAAAAAATTATCGGCAACTCAATCGTTTCAGTTGGTGCTCTTATCAATTGTTGGTCTTCCCAGTCGCAGTCGTCCTCATCATTTTTTCTTCTTCATTGTATTCGACATTTTGTTGATTTTCTGCGTTTCTGCGAATATTTTTGATTTCAATCCTGGAAAAACGAAACGATTCACTCTGTCTTCCATTTCATTTTTACGCCTCAACGTGCTCTCCTCATTAGTGAAGCCTTACATTCAGTTGCCTTAAATTTAACACCTTCCTTCTGCCGCATTCAGCCTCAGAACATCTTTGCCTTGGTGTTCGGTGTAATTTTTATTTTCACACCTTTTTCATTTTGTCAGAGTGAAATGTCGGTGACACATTCAAGATTAACTGGTTCCCGTGGTACTTTGTCACCGCTGATTGTCCAACAAAGAGTGCGGTGTCCGCCAGCCATGGACGCGATACGCAGTCAAACATCATTGTGAAAATTATTATTAATAACTTCGGTGAATTGTGAAATTGTCAAAAAAAAAGCCAGGGGAAAAAAAGGCTCGCTGTAACATGTGGTTGGCTGGATGGCTGGAGAATTTTGTAATTAATGAATCATCTGGAATATTGTTAAAAATTGCATAATTCGTTTTTTTTTTTCTTCGATTCCGGCAGTATGGCCAAATCACAAGAAGTGTCAAATTTAATCGCAAACAGAATGCTGAATTTTCTGTGACATATGTCAGAAGTGTTAATGATTTTCGTATTTTATTGATCACCAAATTTGTATAACAAATTGAAATTATGCGAGATTTTTTTAAAAATCTCACTCCCTGCCTCGAGATTAATTTCCAATTCCATCATGTGGAAATTCTTTCAAAAAGAAGGAAAAAATCAATATCGGTCCACTCCTCCAACACAAAATGTTACCTCATTTACCACTTTACAAATCACAATATTGTTGACAGTACTAGGACTAGTGCAACAAGTAAACTTGAAAGGAAAAGTCAAAAGTCGGGCGGGACACCCTACATCATTATGCATATTTATTAGAGTTCCCGTAACAAAAGAATTTATCTCAAGTAGATCATACCACCTATAAACATTTCGATTTAGAGCAGTTATAGTAGGCTATAGAGTGTATTATATCACTGAAGGATTGCATTCAAAAAAAGTAAAAAAGCAGTAAGTTCGGCCTGGCCAAACTTTGAATACTCTACACCATTTCATACAAATTTGGCAATTCTCAAAACCAAAAAAATCCGTTAAAAATTCTGTTAAAATTCTAAAAATACCGAATATAGCCGTTATATTAGAGTCTATACGACGACATGGACCTGCACAGGTAGCTTTTGTCGTAAGTCATTACAATATTCAAATGCGAAACTTATAAAAAACAAGTTAAAAAGCAGTAAGTTCAGCCGGGCCGAACTTTGAATACCCTCCACCATTTAGAACGTATTTGGAAATTTTTAAAAAAATAAAATCCTTACAAAATTCTGTTAAAATTTTAAAAATGCCGAATATAGTCGTTATATTGGGGTCTATACGACGTGGACCTACATAGGCATTGTTTGTCATAAGCCATTACCATATTCAAATTCGAAACTTGAAATAAACGGTGAATAATGTAGCTAAAATCATCAAAATATCGTATATAATGAGGTATCGTTATATCGGAGCTGTGCGAAGACCTGGACCAGCATAGACAATTTTCTGTCACAGGCTGTGGCATCCATTAGGAACTTTAAATACGACATCTCAAACAATTTCGGTGGGTATTGTACCTAAACTCGTTAAAATACCGAATATAGGGAGGTACTGTTGTATGGGGCCTATACGGAGACCTGGACCTGCACAGACAATTTCCTGTCACAGACTGTAGATTCCATTACGAATTCAAAATACGTAATTTGAAACAATTCCGGTGAATAATTACGCTAAAATCATGAAAATACCGAATATTTGGAGGTACCATTATATGGGGCCTATACGAAGACGTGGACCTGCACAGACAATTTTCTGTCATAGGCTGTAGTTTCCGTTACGAACTTCAAATACCAAATTTGAAACAATTCCGGTATTGCTTAAATCATCAAAATTCCGAATATAGGGGGCTATACGAAGACGTGATCCTG